TTTAATTATAATTTAGAAAATTAATATAATTTTATACGCGTGCGTACGTGCCTCGATTGGCGAAGTAACCATCGTTGTAATATACTCTTCATGCGCGTAAATATCGATTACACCGTGTGTACTACTTTGCCAGCAATTTACCCGATTCATGTGGGTATAAAATAAACTCGCCGAAGATCGTGGGTGCTCTAGAAAATGCGTGAAAAGCAGCGCGGCATGTACGAGTATAGATCGCGCGGCACGCGTGCGTGAAAACATGTCACGGACAAAGTGAATCGAGACTTTTTCCGGTACTCGCGATAAAGTTTCAGTGCATCGATAGACGTAAACGTCTATAAGAACTTTATTGAGCTATAAGCCATGACTGTGTGCACTTGTCGCCTTTAACTTTTTTTTTTTCTCCGCGGATGACGCGCGAAAGAATCTCTGTCAGAGTTTACGATGAAAGATACCAAAATGCATATGCACGAATTACTTAGTGTTCAAATGTATCTTTGAAATAATTAATAAAGATTGCAAAACTGAATGCAAGAAATTTTTTCATAATTGTTTAATATCCGAATTAATATATCGATTTATTGTATTATTATTGTTTTATCCTCACACATTATCTTTATTATTGTTATATTATCTGAAATATTTTTTAGACCAATCTTTTATAGTATCCATTTTGCATGTTGACACTACATTATGTTAAAATGCTCGTTAATAGCTGAAAATATGTACGGAGTTTGCTTGACCAAACTATACAAAGATTCGACTGAATGGTTCAAATGCTCCGATTTACTCTCGCAAGCTGGTTCCAAATTACACGCGATGGCAATTTCACGTGTAACAAGATTGAGCTTGCAGCAAGACGGTTGCTGAAAATAAAACTTCAAAAAAATTCAATTACACGAAAAAAGTTATGTTTTATATAAAAAGTATATTTTTTTTTTATATTTTTCTCGCAAAGAACTTGCATATATTCTATAATTAAGATTTGTATTCGAATAGATATATATCGTGACAAAGTTGATCAATTATTTTCAAACATTGACCTTTTTCACGTGGACAATGAATAATCTAACTAATACGAATAATAAGATGCGATAAGAATCGGAACTGAGTAAAGATGGGGATGTGTCCGCGTTAATCTTGCTAATTATTTGGCAGACATATTTCGTAATATATAATAATTTAATCATGTTCACCGACAAAGTCACGTTCAAAGCGCATTACTTGTCAAACAGCACGCGGGCCAGCGAACGGAAGTCTATTGCATAGTATCGAAAGTTGCATAACTCTTCAGCCTCGGCGTTACGTACTCGGAAAGTCGAATTGCTCTTGCAACAATCTATTCTCAACTCGCGGTAAGATAATATAAAATTTGTTTGTATATCTTGTGCGGTAAAATATACTAAATTTATATATATATATATACCATGTATTACTATAAAATTTTTGTATTTATGTAATATTTATAAAATTGAAAAATCAACGTATATTCAGAAAAAATATAAAAAGAAATAATGAAACGTTTTTGGAAGAAGATGCAGTGTAGTCTACATATATCTATTAAAAATTATGCTCGACTTCTTCGCATTGTGTTATGCAACAGGCTATTATATCTATAATTATTGTATAAGTATGTAATAATTAAGTTTACGTAAGCACATAAAGTCATATGTAAAATCATATATTTGTCATATAATATGCTTGCTATAAGCTAGTTAATCAATTTATCTCTTTAGAGAAAATATCGCATATATCTCTTCCTTATTCAATAAAAAGCTATTCAATAATAATATAATTTATCCATTTGCTCTATATTAATATAAAATTAGAGAAAACTAAAATTCTAACATATCAAAATTTACTACTTGTTTAAATCTCTTTTCAAAGAACAAAAAGATTTCATGATTTTATCTTAATTAGAGATGTCGCATAAGACAATAGAGCACGAGAAGTTAAGCAGTTAATTCATCCGGATTAGAATTCGCGTATTAAAATTTCGCCTACTCAATGACTGCTCGACGATCGTATCGTCGAGTACACGGCATTTTCTCGAACACGATCTCCTTGTTATCTCGGAGACGTGATCACTTCTTTTTCACGCGTCTCGCGGTGACTTCCGTTCGTCGCGTCCTCGAGAGGGGCTGAGGACTCACCTCGAAGACCTCGAGTTCCAGCGTGTCGACCTCGACGCTCATCGTCTATCCTACGCAAACTATAAATCCTCTATAAGGCCAACCTCTTCTGCCACTTTCTGGCACCTGAGCCACGCCGCCGCCGGCGGCGAGACGACCTCTTCCCCCCCGCTTCGCGCTTCGCCTCTTACATAGTTCTTCCACCTGGGGCCCACCACCGTCTTCTCGTCCTCGCGGATCATTGCGGGACCGCATTAGTCCGCCAGCTGGCCCCTCGTGATCCCAATTTCACTGTACTAGGCTACAGCACTTCTACTGGACTGCCTCTCGTACCGGCGATCCAGTTGTCCGATCGATATTCTCTCGGGGGTTCGAGTCACTCGAAACCCTCTGCTCGATGCTGTCTATCACCATGTACAAAGCGTAAATATCTTTTACCCGGTAGAACACAGTTGCCCGAAGTTCTCCGTCTGAAAAAATTTCAGGGAAATTTGTCGAGTCTTCTCGGTTTCCATAAACGCGTCACGGAAATCTGGATTCGCAGAAGTTTTGCTCGTTTTGCGGAACACAAGAAAACACGTTCTTCCTTCGACGAAGTCTTGAAACATCTCCTCGAAGCGATCGCTACGCCTATATGTAATAGTAAACACGTGATCGTGATTGAGGATTGTGCACGGAGAAAGATCATGTAGACAACGATGGAAAAGACCGCAATCGGAATTATTCACAACGGGACTGCCACGATTCGATATCAGTAATCATCCCTTGCGGTCGATTTTTGGAAACTTTCCAAGTATAGATTAATCGTTGCAATAACGAAAGAGTTTAAAGCACGGACTTGTAGCAAAATTTATCATTTATTATCAAAGGTATTGCTTCTGTATTATAACTTTTTAAGAAAAGTATATTTACTTATATCAAAGTAAAACATGTTTTCGTACTGCAAATGGATCACAATTAGCTTACAAATTATACTCTCTTTTTATAATTAATCATATAATCTATATAACTATAAGAATTAATTCAGGCTGGCGCCAAATTGCTATGTGTAAAAAAAAAATGTATTATTATTATTATCATTATTCTCGTTATACATTTGGTAATGCGGTTAGACAAGTTATCTTTAACACGCCTTCCTGACGACTTCTGTTATCAAGGAAACAGGAAAACAGCGAAATCTAACCAGATTATTGTACTTGCAATATTAGTTTAAGACCAATTAAGATTTACTGGATTTTGCCCAGAAGTAAAAATAACAAGAACAATATTTGTCTTCTTACAAAATTTAAAAAATTTTAAAAACGTACACAAACGCACTTACAAAAATTGCTATTTGAAGTAAGAAAAAGATTATTTTAAGATTTATGTTAGAATATCATATTTTTCGGTTCAATCTTAATTTATAAATAAAACAAGAAAAATTGGCAAAAAGAAACTTTTCACACAGCTTTGCAAAGTTGATAAATAAATAAAAAAATAAAATGTTTAATAGACATGTCAAACTCTCTCCCTCTCTCTCTCTGAATAAATAAATGGAATTAAAATGCATATTAAAATAATAAAGATAATAGAGATATAGAGATATAGCCCGCTATATCCTATTTATACATTTATCATATATATTGAAATTTAAACTTAAATAAAATGTTTCTCTCATCCTTGCAAAAACATGTCATAGAAAAAGATTGCAACGCACACTTATCCACCCACGTGTAAGCTAAGTGCCGCGTTTATGTGTCAGTAACCGGAGATGCTCATAATAAGCGGATGACGGCTCACAGTATCCTGTTTTCTAAAGCCATTTCTCGTTAATTCTAGATAGTACGCCCATAAAATCAGTTACCTGTACTATTTACGCGTAAATAATAATTGACCACTCTCGAAAGCGGCGCATTCGTTCCGCTTGCAGATCAGAATGACCCCCCCCCCTCTCCCCCTATCGGATAGATAATAAAACGGCACAACCGTATGTCGTGAAAAGACGCATTTCCATCTCGTCCAAGTTTATCGCGAATAATGCAAAACGGTGCAAACAACATAAAAATTTATGACTGTTTATTCGTGGGCGATTTCTAACAATAAAACTTTAAAACAAGTAAAAAATTAAAACGGTTCTTCATTAGAAAAATTGATTGAGTATTATTTTTTTATATAAAAAGGCTATTAAATTAATCTTAAAAATATAAAAAAATATATATATAAGCGAATTCATTAATGTATGTTTTAGTTTAATTAATAAACATAATGAATCTAGTGTTCTTAAGAAAATATTTGTCAAAAGCAAAAATACTTTTACGAATGAGTATATGTGTATTTAGACGAGCGCAAGATCCTGCGAAAAGCGGCGTTCAGTACGCTCTTCGTCGTCCTTGATCTCGTATACTAGAATGATGTCATCGTTCGCCAAAGTCGCCCGCCGCCACTTCTGTATTTTCGCGTCTAGTTACAAAAATACCCAGGCTTCTTCCCGAAATAATGGCGAACGGATTTTATAGTGGCCGCGCGTATTCAAGCCCGATATTTTCAAGCATTACGACGTTGATGTCAAACCCATCAGTCGATCGCACCGAAAGACGCAGAGTATAAAAGGGGCGGCTCTTATATAAGATATAATGGTGCTCAACCAGAAAATCGTTTCCGATATGTCGAAGTATTATCGAGGAAAATAATGTGTTGCCTAATGCGATAGATATCCGCCGCTAATATTCAACGTAAAAGTAAGTCATAAGTAAAAGAAAAAACATCATACTCGTATATTACTACTCAAAATTTTGTATATATATTTAATAAAAAAAATATGATTCAACCTTTAATCCTTTGCCGAGTAATTATTTATTTAATTAATTTTTTAAGTACAAAATGCGTCATATTATATTAATTATAAATAACAATAAAGACAATATATATTATATACAATATTAATATCTATTATGTTTCTCTCTCTTTCACATTAACTATTTTCTATTTAATGGGACATAGTTAAGTTTAGATCTTTCTGTTCTTTTAGTTAAATCAGCTGTTGGTTGTCTCACTCCGAGAAATCGTAAACAAATCATCCTATCCACGTAATGCTAAGTATAGAGTGATGGTTATATATGCGAGTACGGATGCGGATGTACGTTCGTCATAATTAACCCCGGATTTTCTGACATGGTGTGACGTGCAGAAGTTTACAACAGGGGCTTTCATGATCTCGTCTAGATTTTGTCTGGAAGCACAGTTTTCAGCGATAATGGAGCCGTGCGCGAGCACACTCCACTTCCCTTGGTAAATGCATTAGCGTAACAATTCTCTTCACCACTATAGCAGGCTGTTATACTGATCCATTATATAGTAAGAGTACTATATTTTTATTCAAATTTATATAAATGTTTATAGCTACTTTTAAAAGATAAAGAGTAAACGAGAAATCGAGCGCTTTTTCCGCGAATCATAGATACCAGAGACTAGATGAAAAGTATAGCAGTTACGTCAATACGGGTAATAATAGCTCAGTGAATATTCTCTAATAAACATCAATTAAAGCTGAGATTTAATTGATTCTCCATCTCTTTCTAGAAACAGAAGTAGAAAGATAATACTTTGAAGACATCCTGCATTATACGCGCACGAAAATAAAAATTTGACACGCTCGAAAACGTGAGCGATGAAAAAGGGAATCATTATATTCATTATATTGCCAGATTTTAACAAAATTTATTCTAACAGGTGTAATCTAAAATCTAGTAAATAAATTAAGATATCTCTATAAGGAAATGTCACATCTTGCAGACAACAATCCAGACATCTCAAAGGTAAAGTATCTTTTGTCAGTATCAAGAAATAAAAATAATTTTCAAGCTATTTCATAAGGCATGCATAAAGGAGAGATCTGTCTGGACCATCGTGGAACTTTTTTAATAAATTCTCGCGATTGTCAATATACATGGGCTGCTTTTTCTCTCCCACGTGTATATTTCTCCAGTCAGCCGATCGATCCTATCGCCGGCTGGCTACTCTCGAACTACTTTCGTTTGTGTATAATTCCATCCGTAGATTGACATAAATGACAATACGTTCTCAGTGTGACGCAAATTTGCAATTCTAGATGTTGATTGCTTACAAAAAGTTTTCTGTGTTCTCGTATTTCGAGAATGGGAGAGTTTGTTGTTTTTGAAACATATTTGTATGCGATTTTTTAGAGATCTTTTTTACAAGCAAAATTAAAAAGTTAGGAAAAGCCATGATTGCACTTTGATATCTTTTTGCTAGAAAAATCTTGTAAAAAATTTAATTTGTTAAAGAAAATTATATATATAATAAAAATAAGAGATAATTGCTAGAAAATTTTTGTTTGCTTAACATATTTTCTATCTTTGAGCTGTTAGAAATCTATAAAATGTTAAAAATAGAATCAATATTTATATATATGTATGTGTGCGTGTATGATAGCATAGAAATTTAAATAAGTATTCGTGTCATTAATAGTAGATATTAGAGTAGTACAACATATATAGATATATGTTATATCGATATACTATATTAAATAATCATTATCCCAATGCATTTACAAACCAGCTATGAGATATTAATAATAACTGAACTGCTCATATTCCCTACAAGTGTCAAGAGTGTTATTAAATCGCTCTAGTTTAAGTTTTCCAGGCCAACAAGCAGAATCATCGTCTTGCGTAAATCAGCGTCCCTACATGCAGGATGTCCATTAACAGATGTCATATGACGACAAATTCTTTGACAGAATTAGATTTATAATTGAAAAACTTATGACAGTTCTCTAATTCTCAACTTTGAAAATCTTGCTGATTAAAACACAAATTAAATTTTTTTAAACATTTAAGCTGTGTGATTGACTAAATTAATTAAACTCGATTTGATGAAACTTAAACTTTAATCATCTGTTTATATCTTGAAGCTAACTAACTAAAAATATCTAATTTCTAACGTTGATTGTCATCGATATTGATAAAGGTGTTTCTTCCATCAAATTATCGTTATACGGAAATCTATTTTAAAGTTATCAACTAATGTCAGCGGTCATTATAGCAAGTGGTCATTATAACAATAAGTTAATAATTAGTGCAATAATAGAGCTTTTTGATAAATTCGAAAAAAATTAATATGTTTAAAAACTTAAAAACGATATGTGAATGGATTTGCACAATTCTCCTGATAATGAAGCCAATGTTCGTACGCTTAAGATACCGAAAACTCATTTTCGGTAAAGATGACCGGTTTTACTATTTTACGGCTACAAAATCAACAATTTGTCTCCATGCTGTTTCGGTAATCTTACGATCGACACATTCGATCAACTGCCAGATATAATAGAATTCTCGATGAACCGTCTATTTACTTATAACCTTGCAATAATTCAGCCACTAGTTGATTGTCCATCTGCGTGTTTATTATTGATCGCATGTGCGTTCGTAAAGCATCCGACAGATATGATTAACGACACGTGGCATGAACGGCGCTCACATTTCCGACAGCTAACTGTACGAAAAACTTCCCTGGAGAAAACCTCACATCGTTACGCTAATATAATTTCTTTCAGCAAATAAAAAATACATTTACAAGGTCGGGTTATGTTCGGCCCGACTCGATAAATGTCGCCGTGAAAGACAAGTGAAATGATGCGCTTCGCGATACACGCTGGAAAAGATTTCTAATTAATTAAACTTCACTGCGCGATCAAATGAAAACGCGAACTTCATCCTGTCCCATCATTCCCTGCGGTTTATCGATCGATAGACACGCAAATACAGCTGCAAAATCGAAAAGGTTGAGTAACCTACTTTTAATCCTGAAGCGAAAGGGAGATGCATTTCGCATTCGATAATCCCGATCGACAATATCGTCCTTTTTCGATATTTGTTTGTTTTACAAGGCAAATTAATTAAAAAAAAAAAGTAAAAAAACAAAGATGTAAAAACAATCTTCTGGTCGTTATTTTTTCCTCGCTTTTCTCGTCTTTTTGAGAAAGATCCCGTTAATTTCATGTCTTTTAAAATAAATCTAAACTTCTTTTCGTCCCCTCAAGTTCGAAGATTTTCTCGACCACAAGGGATTATATCTTCGAATTCATGCGACATGGTACTTTTCCACTCGTCATCTTCGAAGAAGAACTGTACTCGCTACGAAAGCTTCGTCGACGTCGTTCTAACGATCGTCGTCCAGACATAGAAAGAGAAAAAGCGATATCGAGACTGTTTTTTTTTTTTTGAGTGAAGAAAAAAGAAGTAAATAGAAAAACCTCCATACATGGAGGACTCCAACTATTCGATTTAATAAAAAGAAAGATTTAATCCATATTTTTCATTCAACTGAATTAAATTAATTTTTTAGTTCACGGAACTGCGACAGATTTCATCAATAACTTAATTTTCATCAAAAAAATAAAAGTAAAAAGTTAATCGATATTTCTTGTTTAACTGAAATTAATTTTCTCTTTTCAACAAAATTTCGTCAATTAATCTAGCTAAAGCAACCGAGATAAAGATCTAATCAAAATTTTCCGAACAAAAAAGAAAATAAAATTTATCTCAAAATCAAATTATTTTTCCAATTAATTAATCTCTTCAATAAAACAATAAAAATAATCTACAATTTAATCTATATTTCTTACTAAATAAAATAAATTGAATTTTTAGTAACTGAATATAATTTTCCCCCAATAATTTATCTTTACCATCATGCTTTTCTTTTGAACCAAATTTGATTTTAATAATGTTATAGAAGAAGAAGAAAGAATTGTGTGTGTGAAATCGAGAAAGAAAGGAGCCTTACCGCGTAAGCGCGTGCAGCGACAAGGCGCGTATGAACGCCCGAGAGGCTTTTAAACGCCAATCGATCGCCGTGGCGATGAGGTCAACGCTGATTTCCCGAGCGTATAACGCGGACTAACGCGGAAGAGGATTGTCAGAGGATAAATCAGATTCGTCAACTATATTATACAATCGTATCAACACCCTGACAAATCCCTCGATTGCCCACGATTATTACGCAAAGGTGGATGAGGGTGCGATGACGTCGGTAGATGTCATAGCGAATCTGTATTATGATACCTTCGTCATTATACCACTGAAAACGTCTGCTGCTACGTTTGACATTCGTACGATTCGCTGCACGATTAAAACGAGAACGTGGACAAGACCGTTGACCGACGATGACAGTGAAGCAGACGTCCGGATGGTTACATCGTCATTATCGTTATAACTCACAAAATGCGCGTTCTCTCCCTTCGTAGAATATATATCAAAGTCGCAAGTAGATCAGCCAGTGATTGGGGCGGACACCGTTTTTCATTTAACGTAGCACCGGCACCGGCACTATCATCACCATCATCATCATTATCACCGTCGTCGTCATCGTCGTTATCATCACCTTCATCGTCTCGGGAGCGCACCGAGCGAGTCGACAACGACGAGTCAGCACGCGCGATAAGACGACTGATTGATAACGAGGAGCTTGCGAACGTACACGCACTCACGCACCGAGGGTGTCCGCGTTCCTCTCCTTTCTCCGATGAAGGATCACGACGGCGCACTTCACCCGGCGATGGAAACGGAACGGTTTCGCACGACACACACACACACACATACACAGGGACTGCTGGTTCGGTGTCGAGATTCGCGCGACCTCGAGGCGTCGTCTAACGACGGCGCCACGCGCCGCTCGGCGTCGCGACGCTGGCGATGACGACGTGGCGAAAATTCGAGACGACGATACCCAGCGTCGTCAACGACTACTGGGGTAAAGAGGGTTGCTGCTGCACTGACAGTGGCGAACGCAGCTGCGACCAGGGGATCGATCGATCCCTCCGTCCGCCAGCTATACCTCTACTACACGGATGGTATGAACGATTCGGGAACTTAAACCGTTTAACGTTTAACGGAACAATAACACGAGTCGGTAAAAATTACATTTTGCTTTAGAAGAAACATAAATAGTATAGAATAATAATGAATACTGATGAATTATAATAATAATGAACGGATTAATAATAAATTTAAAGCGAATAAGAGTATTTTTATTATATATATACACATATAAAACACCTAACTTGCACACCTTAATTAACTTGTAAATTATATGTTTTATGAGAAATTATTACATATAAAAGTTGCATAATTTCACGGGGGTCATTACATAATACATCTGCATTTTTTATAATTGGAGGTGTTTTACAGATTTGAAGGTCAACCTAGTTTTTTTAAATGGAATCACTCTAATTTTTTTTATAAGTTATATAAATAAATTGATTTCTCGTAATATTAGGCGTAAAAACTTATAAGAGCTAAAAATTGTAAAAAGTTAGAATAGCTAAAAATTGAATAGTTTAGAAGATATTTTATATTTTAATTTGATAATATAAACTAAAAAATATTGAGATAAAGTAATCGAAAAGTAAATATTTTACGAGATATATTTCATAGAGAGAGTTTATGTAAAATTATATCAAATTAAAATTATATCAAATTAAAGTATAAAATATCTCGTAAACTATTAAATTTTTGGTTATACTATCCTTATAATTTTTTACGTCTAATATTGCGAGGAATCGATTCATACAAAAAAGAATTAAGGTTCCATTAAAAAAAATTAGGTTTATCTTCAAATCTGCAGCAAAACATTTTCAATCATAAAAAAAATTAATGTG